CCTCTAGACAACAAATCTATCCCATAGGAGCCATACATTTTTCTGGGATAAAAAGTAAACTATGTGCTATTCCAGACTATAATCTATGTCTGTGCTAAATTTTATCCAGATCGGGTCAGCCTTACTGGCGTGAAAGAGTAACAAACATCCATACATACTCACAAACCTTCATATTTATAATATTAGTATAGATAATATTAAAGCGAAATACCATTCACTGAATAATCAAGAAATTTCAGAAATTATTATTGCTTCAAACTTGAAATTTGGCAGGTTTCTCATAGGGTTGGATAATCACGAAGAAAAGATTTATGGAAATTCAAACGCTAAAGAAATACGAAGGGCCAATGGTTGTATGAAAATCCGTTATATTTAAAGGCACATTGACTGAAGTTCATAATAATCTTTTAGGTTAAAAGTGACGACTGTATTCAGCCCTTTTTAACGTCCCACTTCTGGGCACGGGCCTCCCTTCAATACGAGAGGGATCAGGCCATAGTCCACCACGCTGACCAAGTGCGGGTTGGCGGACTTCACATGTCTTTTGAAAACTTGCTAAGTTTTCTCAGACATGCAGGTTTCCTCACGATGTTTTCCTTCACCGTAAGGCAAGTGGTAATCATGCTAGAAATGATTCGCACATGAAAATATAAGAGGTGCGAGACCCCGGATTTGAATCCGCATCACTCGGTTTCCCAAGCGAGTGCGTTACCACTGGGCTACCACTGCAAAGTGACGACTACTATAATTTAAAGTTTTAGGCAGCATCCTCTGGTAATTTAAAATAGGGAATGATGTAAAACTTATCAGCGGAGTTTGAGATTATACATAAACTATGCAAGCGGAATAATGAGAAAACGCTAATTTCTATTTAAGTGCCTATTTAAGTACATATAGAAAAAAAAGAACCCTGTCCTTTGCTGTAGGTACTCACCTGTCCTTCAGAATTACGATACTGACAGGTGTTTAATGTTTTATGCCGTATCATAAATTATTTTATTATTACCAAAATATACCTATAAAGCTGTAATAGCTATGACAGCTAATTTAAGTTTTTTTTAATTAATACTGTATGTAGGTAAATATTTCTTAGCATTATTCTTTTTTACCCGATTCGTGACGCAAAAGGAGGGTAATGTGTTTATCAGTCTATGTATGTATGTATACAAGTTTGTTCTTATGTGGCGTTTTAGAGACTAAACGCGTAGGCCGATTTTGATGATTAATACGACGTTAGATTCGTCTTAATGACGCGAGTGTCATCTATACATATAATAAAATTGTAACTAAGCCCAATCTGTACGTTAAATATTTTTTGGAAAATCTTATTGCAATAGACATTATTATCGATACAGAGGCCGAATCTATAGTTTTTAAATTTTTTGTCTGTCTGTTACCGCATCACGGAAAAACCACTGGAGGGATTTTGGTGAAATTTGGCATGATGATAGCTGGTTATTCGGGTTAACATATGGGATAGTTTTTACTGCGGGGAAATATCTCATCTCTGAGAAATCTATTCTAAATGTTAAAATGTAAATAGGGACGAACCCGAGCGGAGCGAGGGTGAGTCACTATAGTAGTTAGTAGGCTTTATTAAAATAGTTAATTACTGTGGCTATGGGGTATCACAGCAACCTTACCTGCTATATTGTTCTTGCTTTCTTAGTGCCATTTTGCAAACAATGATAATAGCTACCGCCTAAATATATAGATACATATAGGTGAGTAGCGATTATTCTGCTCGTTATCCATGTCTATTTTTAGAAAAGCCAATACTTATTTTAAGCGAGAAATGAACTCGTAACCTCTAGCAGGAATACCATAATTTAACTTAACAGTAAGCCGATTTCCCTTATATGAAGAAAATGAAAAACACCTGTTAGATTATTCAAAGAAACGTGGACGAACATGTGATCTCTGTTGCCTTATAGGCTTATAATATAAACGTTCATCCTTAGAATAATTTATTGCTTAGTCTCAATTACAAAGATACCTCGCGGTACATCACACGTGAAACTAAACTACTAAAATGAATTAACTAAATAAATAGAATAATTTTGTTTGAGAGACTCTCCCGTGACCATGATTTCTGTAAAGCATTCGAAACGTCGGGAACCAAAAATCAAAATAAATCCGCGAAATAATCCGAAAAGATAGTTTTATTTAAAATGTTAATATTAAAATATTCCCGTAAATCTAATTGTAAGAAAGCATGAATTTTGTTTTACACAGCTATAGTGAATACTTAACATCCATACCTATTAATATACAAAATTTTATAAAGCCTTAACTTCTATCTATCTTTTATTTCCTTCTTATATCTAGCTACATAAATAAAAATAAATGTTCGTATGTTTGTCCTCTATGCGTTCCTAAAGCATTCAAGACCCGAGCGAAGCTGGGGAAGTCCCTAGTATATAATAATTATAATATTAGCATGTGACTTCATCGGTCTACTTGGTTTTCACAATGTTAATTTTCATGAAATTTGTTAAAGAGACTTCAAATATTGAGAACGTAGACCTTTTTTTAAACATTCTATATTACTGCAATAATTTTACAATTGCGCAAAAATGTCCCAACCATTCAAGCGTATGTACCTTACATCGTAATACAAACTACGACATGATCTCGTAAATCGAGCATCGCAAATCAAAATGCACATCGCATTCAGTTCAAAGTACTTACTATGGCCTAAGTTATTTTCTCATTGTTAACTGTGTTATGTTTCTTTAATTCCTTCCTGGTTGCAACAAACTGGTTTCACCACAAATGGCGTATGGTAATTCTACATTTACAATAATATTGTAGAAAACAAAAGGTTTTAAATCGCTTATATTATGTATACTATATTAAAACCACTAAATATTATATTTTCTAGTTTTTCTAGTTTCCAAACAATTTCCATTATTCATAAGACCTAGTTACCTTGTTCTGAAATACAATTACTTTCGAGAACTTTAATTGCTGAAATATTAATGCGATTAGTCAAATGGTGGAAGAGAAATTGTTGTTTTCCTTGGTTCTTGTCAGCAGAACTTCATGAATTTTAAACCATTCGCGTCTTCTTATACCTATAGGATAAGCCCTAACAGAGTTATGTAATTTAGATATCCTTTGAAGCATTATTGTAATATAATCGTAACATTACAGATCGATCTGTTAATCATAGTATTGGAATAGTTTTATTGGGGTCGTCAATGTTCAAACCACAAGATGTACCTACATACATCTGAACAGTCTATCTCTTTGAAAAAGTCTTATTAATGCCGGATGGATTTAAATTTTTTAAAGAAAACAATATTCCTAAGTACCCTACAATGACAGAAGAATTTTTTGACATTGCAACACAAAAGGTACTATTTATATTTATTTGTATGAAAAATAATAATAAAGTAACTACAATGTTTCAAGTAAAATTTAAGTCATTACTAATCTGTTAGTGTACTAACCATTTAAAGAGAATTCTTCCTGAATCATCATAAATAAAAAAAAATTATGCAGTCGCCACTCAACTCTCTGTTTACATATTTATACCGATTACCAAGAATTAAAAAACGAAACGGTTCATCCAAATAACCTTCAAGCAAATCCTTATAAAAAGAAAGTTACTTCCAACGAAATTTTGTTAAAATGTTTTACATTTTTAAGTCATTATTTATACTTTATCCTCGTGAGTCGTGACGGTTACGTGAGTTTAATTACTGAAATAAATTGATTTCACTCTGAATCTTACATGTAAGAAATGTTAAGTTTTGACCACGGTTATTAAATATTAGCTTCCATACGAGCCAATATGTGGAAAATAATATTTTAGATATACTTTAAAAGTAGATAAGGGATCATTGAATCTAGATTTTTATTTATATTTAGTACTAGCAACTCATCTTTATCCTTAGGTACGTTTTAAAGGTTAGTGTGGAATTATAGATAATCGATCCCATTCTCTGTGAAAAACAAAAACAAATCTATCCCACGGGAACCGTACATTTTTCCGAGATAAAAGTACCCTATATGCTATTCCAGACTATAATCTATCTCTGTGCCAAATTTCATCCAGATCCGATCAGCCGTTCTGGCGTGATTGAGTAACAAACATCCATCCATCCAAACTGTCTATAATATTTATATATAGGGGATAATTGCAATAACTTCATATTTTGGATAGATGCATGAAACATAGAAACACATACGCGGGAATCGAACTTAAAAATATGATGTTATAAGTTAAACGACACTTGTCCTAGAAATGACTAATCATTATGTGTGTAAACAACTAACAATTATTTTAAAGCTTTATGTACGGCAATGTGACGCTTTACGTAAGTATACTACGTAAATAATAAATACGTAATGAATGCATTTTTATAACTTTTCATATATAACTGGTAATTAATTAGATTAATCTTTACAATATAAAATTCTATTCTAAATCAATATTTCATTTTTGAGATTTTGTCTAAAAATCACATATTTTTAAATCATTTCAAGGTATGGTTGTGGCTAGAAGAAGAAAAATAAAACCGTTAAATAGAAACAAAAACGCGATTTGCCTTTTGCATCATGAGTTCCTTACCGCCTTCACCTACTTGGCACAGCCTCACTTTATGGCCCTATTCATTCCATTGTTTTGTAGATTGAATAGTCGTTTTTTTATTTATAAATGCGTTAAATATACGAGCACTTATGCATCAGAGAAAGCTACTTTGTACATATTTAAGATAGCATCGTCCGCAGCTCCGCCCGCGTTCAGATGACCAAAAACCAAATTCTTAGGTTTTACATATTAGTATACTCTTACATTGCAGTTTTGTATTTTTTATCAGAAATGAGACATTTTCCCGCGGTAAAATGTATCCTATATGTTGACCCGGATAACCAGCTATCACCATACCAAATTTCATCAAAATCCCTGGCTGTGGCTCAGCAAGTAGGGTCTTACAAATGAGTCAAACGTTTCGTCGAATACATACATTGGTTAAATTAAATGATCTTACCTTAACATCAATAAGGCGTAAAGTGAAGGCAGTAGCATCAGGTGCACTCAGACGCAGCTGACAGGGGCTGCTCGAGGTGGAGGACGGCGGGCGCAGGAGAGTAAGCGCGAGAGCCGCCCCCGCGCCCAGATTACTCCCTACTTCCACTTCCTTCTTACTCCCGCAGAGCAGGCTTGAGGAGTGTGCTGTGGACAATGAATAGATACTTTAAATATCTAGATCTGATGTATGTTTAGATTGCTTATAAAACATTTAAGCATATGTACTCAATAACAATGACGGAAATTATGTATGTGCATGCAAGCAAATTGTACTAGAAAAGATAACAAGTAAATAGGTACATATGTGTACCCAGTACTCTTATCAAGAGCCTAGTGGCACACCTGATATTAAGTGGTTATCTTTATTGCAAATTATTTAACTCATTATGATAAAAATCTATTTTTAAACATGGTAATTCCAGTAGTAACATTAACATTTTTAATCGCTATTTTGATTAGTTTGGGTAAATATTATTCATGTGTTAACACGTAGATAAATGACAGCTGTTTTTCGGTATAAAATAACAATATTTTTTTTTTTGTAAAAAGAAAGGTTTATTTTTAATTTTTTGGATAGCGGATATTCAGGTACAGCGTGATATCTCTCTTTTCAGTTATACCTTAGTAGTTCTTGAACCTAAAAAAGTTAGGAAATTTAAAAATATTAGGAAAAGAACCTAAAAAACAATATGTTGGCGGCAAAACAGTGTCAAATGGAAACGTGTTTAGGTCCGTTTTACTATTTTTATCAGCAATGTTTTGGTGTATCGAATTTAAAAGCGAAGTTTCTAGTCGATTAATGACTCAGTCGATATTAAATGCTGGGGAGTAAATAACGGTTATAATAAATTTTTATTGCTGTTACGACTCGCATAAAAAGATATAGAGCCGCTAGTATTTTATAATTTGAGCGTGACAATGGTCAAATAAAATACTGTCTTACCTTAACATCAATAAGTCTCGTGGCTCGTCTAGTATTAAATTAGAGACTGATGAAATAAATTTTGATCTAGGTGTTGATATATTAGTTACTAGCGACTCACCCTCGCTTCGCTCGGGTTCGTCCCTAGGTTGATTCCCTATACAAACTTTCATCCCCAATTTCACCACCTTTAAGGATGATTTCCGGGATAAAAATTATCCTATGTACTTCCCAGGCTCTCAAACTATCTTCTTACCAAATTTCATCTAAATCGGTTCAGTAGATCCAGAGATTACCCCTACAACGTCACAAACTCACAAACTTTACCTCTTTATAATATTAGTATAGATGATAAGCAAAATTTCACATTTAAAGCAACGTAAGTTAGCTATAAACAGTACAAATTGATGTAAGAGATATAATAACTATGTTGTTAAATCTTTATCGTCATATATAGTGATGTAAATATATACATTTGAATAATATCTATTCATATAAATAAAATAAGTGTCCGTCTGTGATTTTAAACTAGCTGTTTTATCAAATAAATAGAATTATTTATAAGATGCTAGTACTTAAACAACCTTTTTTAAAATGTTTGTCTGTTTTTCAATGTGTCCAGGGTAATCTTTAGAATGGCTTAACCGACTGTAATGGGACTTATACTGAAAGATAGAGGTGTTAGTAGGATTATTTATGGGATATGTTTTATTCCAGAATTCCAGGGTTCCAACGAAACCAAAAATCTTTAAAAATATTTAAGATTCGCATGTATAATTTTACGAAAAAGTCTGCGATACTACCATGTGTATATATAATATATCATTATAATAACTATTTTTATCTATATGACGAAGTGTCCATATTCTCAACATCATCTTTAGTGATTACGAATCTTGTGGGCGTTATGAGGACTCAATGCGGACAAGTAATAAAGTATTATATATATATATATGTATATATACATATATACATATATACATTATATATATATATATACATAACTGCCTCGGTGGTGTAGTGGCTAGCATGTACGGCTGCACACCCGGAGGTCCTGGGTTCGAGTCCCGGGTCGGGCCAAGTTTAGTTATTGAGTCTTCCTGTATAGTAAGTCTCAGTAACAGCCCGGAGTTGGGAAGTTGGCGGTGTTTCACCCCCGTGCCTCGGAGAGCACGTAAAGCCGTCGGTCCTGCGCCTTAACTCTCACCGGCCGTGTCGAGTGGTCGTCCCACCGGAGCATGAGAGTGATAGGAATAGAGAGTGCACTTGTGTCTGCGCGTACACTTGAGCACTATAATATCTCCTGCGCAGTTGGCTAATCTCATTGAGATTGGCCGCCGTGGCCGGAATCGACTAGGAGAACATCATATATATATATATATATATATATATATATATATATATATATTATATTGTATTGATCATATTTATGTATAAGTATGATCAATACAATTTAATATGTTATATTTAATAAGGGAAATCACCTTGAAACGATAATTCTATTAGTTTAATTGAGCAACGGGTTCTCGACACAGATCTGACTTTAACACACAACACTCCAATGTACAACCAACATTTCCAAGCCACATACATATCTCCAACGAATTTGATGATGGCGCCTCTACCCCGCCCGAGACAATTAATTTGAATTTTATTTGACGAAACAAAACATAGTGACTCTGACTTTAAACAATAATAAGGTTTTAAAAGAAGAAAAAGGTGACTTATGCCCGATTTCACCAACGTCACCTAAGTTTAAGGGATCCCCTAAGCATGGTTAGGGGGCTATTAGGGGACAGTTTCTGTTTCACCGAGAGTTAGGGGTCACCTAAATGTTAAAATACCACCTAAATATAGGTACTAGAAATACGGGCTATGATGATGGTAAATCGAAATTTTATTTAGGGGGTAGTTTAGTAGTTTTATTAGCAGAAAAAACGTAGTAAAACGAACGCACACGAGGCAAATAAGCTAGTTTTAAATACAAATCTATTTATAGACTAACTTTACGTAAGCCCTCCGACATGTTGTTTCTTAGTTATCAGAAAGTTGTTAGGAGCAAGCGTCGCTATGACGCCGCGCCGTGTCTGGCATTAGCGACGTTTTTACTTCAAACCTATAATTTTACTTTAGATGAAAACAAACTATTCAACATTCAAGATACTTTTTCATTTAGATACTGTATTTATTTGTGATATATTTTATACATGAGCGTACAGGAAATAACAATTTGAATTTTGCATGTTAGTAGGCACTCTAATTTTCTATATATTCTTTCCAAGGATGTTATATACTTATAGTTTTAATTAATTAATCTTTAAAAACACACTTTCGAGCAACCGCAATCTGTTAAAAAAATCAACTGAGCCTAAGCTCGTTTCCAGACAATCCATTGATACTAATACCAATTTTGAAATCGATACTACAACAATTAAAAGTAAATAGGTTAAAATCGATTCCTAAGATTTTTTTTTTATTCTTTATTTTTTTTTCCATGGGAGTTTGAGTCATGGCATTTTCCTAAGATTTAATTAGACGGCTAACTAGCAAGTGTAATTAAATAAGAAAAAATATGATCCATACAATATTAATATATTTTACAATATTAATAAATCATATAGTACATACATACATTTGTATATACCTAAGTAGGTACTTATACATATATACCTCTACATATATAATACTAGCGGAACCCGCGGCTTCGCTCGCGTTAAAATTACAAAAAAACTAAAAAGGTAAGTACGTTTCATACAAACTTTTATCCCCTATTTTACCCTCTTATGGTATGAATTTCGAAAAATGCTAAAACACATATTTATTTAATTATATTGAAGAGCATTAATACCAAGTTTCAAGTAATTATGATCATAAATAATTTTTAGGTTGTATTATAAGTGTTTTCCCGTGGGAATGAGATAATTTCTCGCAGTAAAAATAGCCTATGGCACTCTCCAGCCCTCCAACAATCTCCACACAAAAAATTAGGCCAATCTGTCACTACGTTTTAACGTGAAAGAAGGACAAACAAACAAACAGACTTTCACATTTATAATATTAGTACGGATGTATACTATATACTTAGGTATTGCTTATTCAGGCTAACAGCAATAACTCTTAATAAAATACATGTAAAAGTTATTTGTAAACGTAATGTTTCCTAAGAAAATGCAGTTAGTACTAATCGTTACCTTTCTTTATATAGAAAAACTACGTAATCTATTTATAGATGCACTTTACGTAAGGCATCGACAGAAAGTTGCACGATGCCGGCCCGGCGCGGCGCGGCGCGCGGCGGCGCGGTGCTAACACCGGTTACCGCTAGCATTATGATCGGGAGTACTTTTTCAATTAATATTTTGGTAAATATATCTTTTTTGATATTGAGATTTGTACTAAAATGGCCAAATAAACGATTTTTTTAGGCATCGTAGATTTCCACACATATTACACACTCATAAGCTAAATTACTTGCAGAGTGTACTGTGAAGGTTCACCATATGTTTCTATGAAAAGATTTAGTATCTATACTTTCCCTTAGCCTTTCTTTCTCACTGGACTATTCTTTTTCTTCGCCTATGGGCTACTGTAAAAGTTCTTCCTCTTACGCGATTTTTCTTTACTAGACTTTAAAGACATACTTTCTTAAATTTACGCGAATATTTGACATTTTAAATAAAACTATCTTTTCGGATTATTTCGCGGATTTATTTTGATTTTTGGTTCCCGACGTTTCGAATGCTTTACAACAATCATGGTCACGGGAGAGACTAAGGTTATAGACGTCTCAAACACATACTTGATACAGACAGTGCCTACCCACTATTTTACAAAAATGATTTCATAAATTCAAAAATGGCAATAAATTGAATAAACCTTACAATATTTGTTGATTTTTATTTCTAAACATTTTAAATTTTTTAATAAATATTATAATTAAATATAGCAAAAACTACAATAATGACCTTTGAAACCGGAGTTTTATTTTTTATTTTGTAAGAGTATCTGATAATTTAAATACCAATTTTCACCACCTACTTTTTGATTAATATGAAGACCATATATTTTTTAATTAAGACCGATGTTTTTTTTTTATTTACGATGCATAAAATTGATTTAAATCGCTAATTAAATTTGCGATTTATTAGACAGTTATTTTTCTTCCTGCTTCTTAAGCAGTCAAGTCAGATGTTAATTATTTAAAACGATCACATACACAGCA